TTGAAAATGAGATGCGAATCCCCTCTTCACTTTCTTTTTCTCGCCAAAACAATCCCTCTCACTAACCCTTTCTCTTCTTCTCTCTTGGCCAAATACATAACCATCACTACCCTTCTCTTCTTTGCTTTTTCACTTGGTCAAACCACCACACCACTTTTCTTTTAACCCCAAATAGAGACCCACTCTCCTCGTGCTCCTCTTCTTCAAAACCAACACTAAGAACCCTCTCCTTCCCCATTCACTTCTCCCTTTTCTCTTGACTGAAACATCACTCCCTCCACTTCTCCCTCTTTCCTTGGCTGAAGTTTGCATGCATCGTTCCTTGAGAGATCTCTTTAAGCAGGGTATAATTTCTAACTAAAGTTGTTTCAATTTGGATTACTTAGTTCATCAAATTAAAAGTAATTTCATATGTATACCACTTAATCCTTACGCTAATAATTATGTGGTTCTCTTAATCCTCGTGTATATGTTTATGTGGTTAACATAATCCTCATGCTAATATTTATGTGGTTCACTTAATCCTCATGTCTATCATTATCCTCATGTCTATCATTATGTGATTAACTTAATGTTTATATGATTCACTAAATCCTCATGCCTATAATCATGTGGTTCACTTAATTATCATGTCTAAGTTTATGTGATTCACTTAATGTTTATGTGGTTCACTAAATCCTTATGCTCATGTTTATGTGGTTCACTTATGCGGTTCACTTAATGTTTATTTGGTTCATTTTATCTTCATGCTAGTGTGGTTTACACCCTACTATCATGTATAGTATCCAAAATTTTGGAGCACATTTGAATTTTAAATTATTTTTAGGATAATTAATATAAATTCAAATGCACTAAAAAATCACTTAAAAGTTCAAAATAAATTTGGCATGAAAATTATATAAATTTAAAATGTTTAAAACCTTTTAGTAAAGAAAATTTAATCAAATCATTAAAGAAGTTAGTTAAGCTTAAGGGTATTCAAATTTTAAGAATACTTTTCAAATTAAAAATTCTTCAAATTAAGCAGCTTTTAAATCCTTTTCCAACTTGTAATTTTCAAAGCACTTTAGAAGCAATTTTCAAATTATTTTAAAATTAGAATAATCATTTAAGCTTCCAAACTTTCAAATCATATGAAATTGTATTTCCAAGTCACTTGAATTTATAATCTTCATGCACTTCGCAAATCACATAAGCTTACTATTTGTCATAAAAAATTACATGAAAACCATACAATGCTTATATGATTAGCATATGAGGCAAGTTTATATTTTGAACAAGCATTTTATGTGTTTAACACAAACATACAAACTTAAATATTCATGAACATTTCATGTAAATTCTCATATATTTGGATGTTTAACATTTAATATATATTATTTAGATGTATAATATTTATAATTCAATATTAAATAATTAATATCCTCATGTGATATTTTTATATATATACATGTATGTAAAATTTAAAAGCCTAAATCTTGAATGATATTACTTTGGTATGATAAGTAAATTATTTTTACGTGAAGATTAAATTTGTTTTATAAATGATAATCTTAACATGTAATATTAAAAACTAAGTATGTAAATGAATAAAATATAAAGTGTTAAACATAGGAATATAGAAAAATTAAATGGCATATATGTGAAATCTTTTTATGACAAGTAAATTTTAATAGTAAAGGTCAACTTAAAATAGTAAATCAACACTAGAAGTCAGATCAAAGAATAAAACTTGATGAAAAACATTAACTTAGATTAGAAAACAAATAGACATAGGAGAACCTAGAGCACTTGATTTTCTAATTGATCGATAAACTAAAAGATTTAACCACTAAGAAAATTTAAAATTCATTAATTTAAACAATTGAAATCAAAACATATGTAGATCAACTATATAATATAGGCTAACCAAATTAGAAATAAAATCTAGAATCACACATACCCCTAAAATAATCTAGTCTAGAAACCTATGTTTAATTATTAAGTACTCCTAATTAATGTTAAGGACTTGGACATATAAAATCCCAACTGTATAACTCTCTTTAAATATGTAGGTGGTCTAGGAGGAAGAAACCTACAATTACTAAAGAAGATCACTCAAATCACCTAATAGTTAAAAAGGTCTACATTTGTCATCGCTAACTCTTAATTTCTCGTTAGTTAATAGTGTTAATGCAATCAAGAAGCCGAGACTATGGAAAACTGTGGCTATCTTGATTGGGGATGTCCTATCCAAATTAAGGTTATTCCACTTATGTAGGCTCCTTATAAGGTCAAGATTTACCTTAAGGTTATGCTCTCAACTTTCATCTTGAAATCTTTTCAACATTGTCAACTCAAAACTTTCAAACTCAAAAGCCCACAAATCTTTTTTAAGTCTAACTTTCAAAATCAAAACATTAAAACTCAAAACTCCCAAATCATTTAAACCAAACTTTCCAAATCAAGCCTTTTTAAATCAAAATTTTCAAATCAAATATGAATCAAATATATTCTAAATCCCTTTTGATTCCATCTCAATTCATCAAACTGAACTCATTCAATGATTTTCTAAATTTATTCTCTAGGATATACCTCCTTACTAAAGTTAGTTAATCCCATTCATGAGCCTTTTCACGACATAGTGTCAGTGGAGTGTAATTCCCAACATTTTAATTCCAAGAGCAAGTCATTCAAATCTTGATTTTATCCATTGAAAATTCCAAACATCAATCTTGAATATTTAATCTTGATATCCCAAATGATATAAGTCAATACATTGAACAGAATTTTCTTAAAAGTTCACAACTCTTGAGATGCAATTAACTGTAAAAGTTCTTCCCTATAGGAACACCACCCCATAATAAAATAAACTCTATATTACACACATAAAGTAGAGAAAAAAATTTTCGTTAATGCAGGCCAAAATTTTAAAAAATCTCATCAACTAAATGATTTGATCCATTTCAAGATATTATTTCTATATCTCATAACCGTGTATTATTCTTCAAATGTCGTATTCAATAATGTAAATAAAAAACTTTCCAATATTGTGCGAGACAAGAAAAAAAATTTAAAAAAATACCTACAATATAAAATTATTTATTAGTATAGTAATTACATATGAGTTCAATTAATTCTTATTCATTGATGTGCTTATTTATTAGTTCACTTAAAGTAATTGTTTGATAAATTTTGGCAAACCATCAAAGAAAATTCCAAATAAGCTAAGTATGAACATAAATGTGGATGTTTAGCTCGAACTAAAGTAAATATTGAACATCTAGTAGTATGACAAAGCAAAATACAATTAATATTACACTTTTTTTGGCTCGACGACTCGGCTCAAATATAGTCACAACAAAGACAAAAGAACTCATTTTTATCAAGAATATCGAATATACCTAAAAGCTAAGCTAATCAGTATCCTATCCAAACAAGCCGAACCACTTCAACCATTGGCAAAAAGAAAATACATGGAAATTTAATAACAACAACAAGCCTTTATCTCACAAAGTGGGGTAGGATGCATGAATCTTTTTTCTTCATTCTTTCCTATTGAGTGTCATATTTTCATTTAATTCTAATATATTAAGATTATTTTTTATACAATATGCCCAAAAGTTTTTTGAGCTCAACCTCTCTTTCTTAACATAAGTCGAATCCAAATTATCGACTCTCTTAATCGGATCATTAGATGGTCAACGCTGACCAAGCCATCTAAAATGATTCTCTTTAATCTTGTTTGGCACTGGTGCTACACCGACCCTTTCACGGATAGATTTGTTTTGCATTTTGTCCACCTAAGCATTATCATCCCAACAACACTTAACTTTGTTTTATGATTCTCTTTTAACGACAAACATTTTGGCTTATAAAACATTGTAGGTCTCACCACCATCTTATAAAATTTTCCATTAAGTCTAGGCGGTACTTTTCTATCACACAATAGGCCTAATGCATTCCTCCACTTCAACCAACCAGCCTAAATTCTAGTAATAATATCCTCATCTATATCACATCACTTTAAACATGAGATTTGAGATATCTAAAGCGTTCATATCTTTTAATGATTTGATCACCCATAGTTACAACTCTGTCACTAAAGCAACTACTACTAAAATTACATTTTATGTATTAATTTTTAGATCTACTAAAACGAAGGCCTTTAGACTCCAATGTAAACCCCCATAATTCAACTTTTTCTTGAAC